AAAGTCGGCTCCGATGATGGCGACCTGGGTGTCGGCGACAATGAAATTCCATGTCGCTGCCCGTCGAAGTCCCAGCTCGATGGTCAGGATGTGGTTGCCGAAGGTGGGTATCGGCGTGGCGTTAGCGGTGGTGAGCGTCAGTGGCTGGGGCTGCAGCTTGCGATCCTTGATTAGGTCCTTGGGCAGCAGCGAGACGACGGAGCCGGAGTCCACCAGGAAGCTTATGCGAGACTCGCGGTCGTGAATGAGGAGGCGATTCTCCGATAGTCCTTGCTGGCCCGCCTCCGACACTGTGGACGGAGGGGGCCCTACTAGTTTCCCGTCTTGGTCGAGGCGAAGGAGCAGGGCGCGCGACAGTTCCTGGCATCTGCCCCGAACCTCTGGTGGAACCAGCACCAATCCGGGTGGGCAACCGGGTCGGCCTGCTGGTTGTTCCGCCCTCGAGAGCGCGACCTGGAACGGTTCCGGGCGGGTTGCTGCTGCTTCTCCGAGAGCAGCTGATTGAGCAACTTTCGCATCTCGGCTACCTCTTGCGCGAGGCTAGGGCCTGCGTGATGGACCGGCGCTGTCGCAGGCGCGGGCGGAGTGGACACGTCGTTGACGCCTGGAAGGGAGCCAGCGAGTTCGTCTGCCATGTCACTGAGCTCATCGAGGGTAGCTGCCTTCATGATCCGGAGGATGCTGTTGACCTGTGGAGGAAGGAGGTCGAGCCACCGGACCTTCAGGATTTCATCGGAGACCTTGCCTGCGGCCAGGCCCTTCATCTGGCGGAGGAGCTGCGATGGCTTCGAGTCAGCCAGTTGAAGCTGCCCGAAGAGTTTGCGCAGCTGGGCGTCGGCAGAGTCCTGGAAACGGGACAGGATCGCGTCCTTGATGGCCTTGAAGCGGTTCGTCGCCGGAGGGTTGGCGATGATGTCGGAAAGCTCCGATACCGCAGGACCAGTGAGTGCGCTGACGAGCGCGATGTATTTTTGCGAGTCGTCCGTCGTTCCGCTGGCTTGCAGGATGACCTCCGCCTGGGCGACCCAAGCTGCGGGGGCCTCGGCCCAGAAGCGAGGAATTTTCGGCTCGGTCATGGTGGTAGCTGTCGTCTGCTGCTGTTGCTGCTCGGTCTCGGGGGCGGCCTCCTGGGCCGTCGCTGACGTCGCTTTAGCGTCGGCTTCCTCTGCGTGTTCCTGCAGTTGCCCGGCCAAAAGAGCCTGCGGTAACTCGGCCTGCTCCTTCTGCTGCTATCGACGTTGGGCGCGCTCGTCACGCTCTGATAGCTCCTCGTCAGAGTCCCCCAGTGTCGCGAAGGCTGAGGTGCCTACTCCGGCGACGTGCGTGTCGCATGACACCTGATGGCACGGCTATACGAGGGAGGCGGACTGACGGCGAGCGTGCACCTGTCAGCGTGGGCTAGGGTGCGCGACGAAAATTGCGACGTCGTAAACCGTTTTGTTGCGCGCGAGCTGAGACTCGTGGCTGGGTGAGCTACGGCTCTAACCCCGGCTCAGCGGTTCACTCGCGAGGGACGAGAGCAAAATATCACTGCACAGCTGCGTGTCGGTGGACGCGGGGGGGAGAGAGGACGAGAACGACGATGATGGTCGGTCGTGTCGAGCTCGCTTTTTTTATGCAGCACTGTAGCGAGCCTTACGCGAAACACTTTTTATGCAGCACTGTAGCGAGACTTACGCGAAACCCTTTTTATGCAGCACTGTAGCGAGCCTTACGCGAAACCCTTTTGTTCGGCATGTTACCCACGCACACACTCACTCACGAGGGAAAATGTCCGCTGATGCGTGCGAAGTCTTGTTGGCACTGATCGTCGTTAAGACCGAGATGGAGAGAGAGAGAGAGTCTAAGATGGCGGCCGGCGCGACTTGGGCCTCGGCCTGTTGATGGCTGCGCTCCCTCAGCTCTTCGCTGTTGATGCTCTGCTTACCTCGAAGCTCGTCGTATCCTGGCAGGATCGCCACTTTGGGAATTATCACGGGTGAGCTAATCCCCGATGCTCAAGGATGACGGAGGTACGAAGCAGGACGCAAAGAATGATCAGGCAGCGTGTAACAAAACTTGCATTTATTAAGTACAGAAAAGAATTGGTAGTTTCAAGAGATCGTGTTGCTGCGCGTGCCTTCGTTGTCGCTGGTCGAAGCGAGAGTGACGAGCCGCGCACGCTACCTAAAGGTAGGCACGGCAGAGTCGACGGTGGAGATGAGAGGGCGCGCTGAGCGCCAACTACCAAATCGCTCGTGGAACGAGCTGTTGTTTGCGGCGTGAAACTTGTTTGGAGCTTCGGCTGTCGGCGGGCGCCACATACCGATCCCCGATATTTAATGGAAAAATTTTTTCTGTTTTAGTTTACGTGAAATATCTCACGCACAGATTTGTTTATAAAGTGTCTGTGTGTATGTAATTACGTAGAAATAAAGTATTCCAAATAGTAGTAATCTCATTAAATTTTGTTGTAAAAAAATCTTTGTTTCAATCGACTGTTGCGCAACACATTATTATTGGGAAAGATATTAATAGACGAATTGAGTTATACCGTGCGACACTTCAGTAGAATATTTATCATATTTATTTGATAATCTTTCATTATTAATACTCAAGCAAGTATTCCTGATTCCACGGAAAATATGGTTAACTAAATCTAAGAATGTAAATAGTGAATTGGTTTATTATGATAGTTTTTTTATACTCACATTTTTTATTTTCAACTAGAAAACATGGTTTTTACTATGCTAAGGAACACACGGTACTTTTCAGCATAATTATATTTTTTTTCACTTTTGACTAAACAAACTGTATGTACTCTAAACAAATACGTTTTCAATAAGAAGATATATTCCCTGAGAAGTGTCAGGAATAGATGTAAAATTTTTAACTAAAAATGTTTCACATTACATGACAACACACTACGGTGTTCCATTTAGTGAGTCTCGGGCGGGCCGAGAAGGGCGGGACCGTTAGTTAATCATATTTATTTAATAATCGTTCATTGTTGATAATTAAGTATCAATGATTCTAAGGAAAATATGGTAAACTAAATTTCAGAATGTAAGCGGTGAATTATTTCATTATGATAGTTGAATTTTTATACTAAAATTTTTATTTTTAACTAGAAAAAATTGTTTTTGCACTATACTACAGTCTTTTTAGTTAGAGCAATCATACGTAATTATAGCATCAGCAAAATAACCGGATGACACTTTGTAACATTGCAGTAGAAGCAACTTCCATTTAAACTAATGCTTCCCATTCATCAAGAACCGATATGGGGCGATGAAAAAAATTTTTTTTTTGCTTGTTAACCAAACCAAACTACAGTTCTGAAAAAGTTTGCACCTAACCTGTATCACAAAATTTTTGTTAGTTTAATTGTTCGGGCTGATTTAAAACACGGAATTTAAAAAAAATTTTTTTTGAATTTGAAAAAAAAATTTTTTTTTTAAATAATTCCGTGTTTTTAATTAGCCCATACATTTCGGCTGGTAAAAATTGTGTTATATACGTTAGGTGAAACATTTTTGTTAACTGTAGTTTGGTTCGGTTAACAAGCAAAAAAAATTTTTTTTTATCGCTCCATATCTCGGTTCTTGATCAATGGGGAGCATTAGTTTAAACAGACGAAAGGTTGGAAATCGCTTCTACTGTAATGTTACAAAGTGTCATCCGGTTATTTTGCTGATGCTATAATTACGCATCATTGCTTTAACTATTTGCGTTGTTGTTTATTTAGCGCTCCGACCTTATCTTTTCTAAGAAAATTCCGACTAAATTAGGAAGTTCTCTGATTAGTCAAAACATTCTGATTTGGAAATCGCACATGTGAGAATCATCTTATATATAAGGAAGAGACTATAGTTAGAACGCTGACAAAGTTAAGTAGTGAATGGGGCACCCAGACAAATTTTGCATTAAGCTTTAAAATGTCATTGAACAAACGGTTAGTTTACAGTCTGGGGCTCTATCACGACCTTCGATATCTCGCAAAAGTCAGTATTTTTTTCGATAATTTACATGAAATTATGGTTATGCGCATGCGCAGTATGAGAATTATCGAAGAAAATACTGACTTTTGCGAGATATCAAAAGTCGTGACGGACGATGGAGCTGATCAATCATTTAAAAAAATTTATCGTCATAAAATCGATCATACAACAATCGTTAAAAAGTCGACCTTTAAAATGAGAACTATTAACCCTAAACCCTATGTACCTACAGTTGTGGCGGTAATTGGTTGCGTTCGAATAAATCGTATTCGCATTCCAATCCTATCCGAATCGTATTCTCGACAGTCAACTGTAACGCCAGCACAGGATTGGGAATATTGGGATGCGAATACGATTAATTCGAGTTTCGACGATATCCATATGGTCTTTAGTATTACAACATTAATCGTGATTGTCGTGAACAAGGGAAAATATCGCAAAAACACTTTGAGACTTTACGAATCATGACGTTTCTCAACTTCCTTACGAAGTGTGGGTGTAATTTCTTTTCTTACAATCTTCGGGCTCAGATCTTAGTTTAGATGGGGCACATTGCAGATGCCCCAATGCGATGTATATAGTAAACCATACAATAAAAAGTTACATCTATGATGTGCTAATTTCAATCTGCACTCTACTCTGCTGTAACATTGACATTCATATACGTGTCTTTCTTACGACTGTCGTCCGCTCCGTGATGTTAAGTGTGTACACCTTGCCGTCCTAATTCCTACCCCGTTATTATGATTTTAGTAGTTGCAACTCTTGCTTACCGTTGCAACCAGGTCCTGACTGCCAGGATCGTGATCTTGAAATATCCACTATAAGTAGACGTCACTGAAAAGCACATTCTAGTTAGTATGTTACTATTAGCAGTCTGCCGAGGACTGCTAGAGTAGTGCCTGGCAAGTGGCAAGTAGGAAACCTTTCTCCTGGGGGAAGCAGTTACCGGAAGCTGAAAAGTACCCCTCAGATATTTGACATATTCTAGCACTGTGCACTCCGCTAAGGGGGCTCAAGATGGCAGGCCCCCTGACGTGGTCGTGCACCTGTTGTCTCAGGTTAAAGTTTAGTCCTGAAGAAATTGAACAGAGATACAAGAGTCAGGAGATCGACCGGATACTTGAGAAGGATAGGCAATCGTTTCGTAGGCAGGTCAAACTTCTCTTGCTTGGTGCTGGTGAGAGCGGCAAGTCAACCTTTCTGAAGCAGATGAGGATTATACACGGTATTAAATTCGAGGTCAGTTACAGATTATTTATTACTTTTGCCATTTGCCTCTGCCTTTCGTTGTGACTACCATGCATGTATGTCCTTCACAATTTGGGTAATTTTATATGTCGTGTAAATACTCAAATCTTACATTAAATAAATACATCTAAACTTACGAACATTACTGTATAATTATAGCTGTGCACATGTAAGTACTTGATTCAGTTTTACTTATGAAGCTTATCTTCTCGTATTTCTTCCTTGTAGTTCTTTTTAATGCTACCGTTACACTCTTGCTTATCTGCATCTCTGGTATTTAAATGTTTTATTGTGAGTTACTTTCATACTGACATTGAGCTCACGGTTGCAAACATTGGAATGTACATTGTTAAACAAAAAGAAGTAATCCATAGGATTTCATTAATTTGATTGCATGAATCGCAAATATTCCAATATTTTCTATGGGAATACTGCTAATAGGAATATTATTTAATTTTGTTCGTTCCAACTGAGCCTGCAGTATTATTAAATACTATCAAATTACAAAAAGTTGTCATTATGTATTGTGAATGATAAATGCTTGTTTGGTGGCACTAGATTCTTTCATCACTGACTCTTTGTATAAATTACACAATGTATTCCTAACCACCTGTCCACAATTTACCTAAAGTATTGCATAACTCTACCACAAAAAATTAGTTTTACCTTAAAATTTTAGTTACTTTGAAATAAATAAAGAAGCACTTCTCATTCCTTCACAATTAATATACTTCACAGACTATTAGTAGACAATCTTTTTTCATACAATTCCTGCATACATTAATTGATATTTTGTATCTTAGCCTGAACTAATTAAGGAGTATCAGCATATCATTTATCAAAATGTTGTCAAAGGAATGAAGGTTTTAGTAGATGCTCGAGATAAGTTAAACATACCTTGGGAACATCCTAAAAATTATGACATAGGATATCAATTGTTGAAATTTGAGAATACTACGTGCCTAGATGCTAGGATCTTCTTTCATCAGGTACCAGGATTGCAAAGTCTATGGAATGATGCTTCTATCAGAAAAGCATTTGACAGACGAAGGGAATTCCAACTTGTACGTACATCTCATGCATCCATTACACAGTGCATCAAAATTTTTTTTATTTTTTTCTAATTTTGTACTATTTCACTAGTCTTATAGATATTGTGTTAAAATTATTAAAGCTGACTATTGGTTGCTATACGAATCGACGTTTTTTTAAATGAACACTTATTCATACTTAATTTTAGAGTGACTCGGTGCAATACTTTTTGGATGATCTGGATAGAATTGCTAAAGTGGTATGAATGTACAAAAAGTTCTTATGTTTGCATATTGAAATTGATTACTTGTAATAAACTGTTTTTGTTGTAGGATTATATCCCCACGCATCAAGACATCTTGCACTGCAGGAAAGCCACAAAGGGAATATCAGAATTTGTTATAAACATTAATAATATTCCATTCCTATTTGTTGATGTGGGCGGACAACGATCGCAAAGGCAAAAATGGTATCAGTGTTTTGATTGTGTTACATCCATTCTTTTCCTAGTGTCATCGTCGGAGTTTGATCAAGTCTTATTAGAGGATAGGTATGAAACATGTCAATTGTTATTTTTTTTTTTGCCGCCGTATCGCATGGTAAAAAGTATAACTTGAACTTTTTTTTTTTTTTTTTTTTTAAAGGAAAAAATTTGAACGTAAGTTAGGGTTTTTAAAAGTTATGAGATCGTAATTTATTAGCGAAAAACAAGTCGTGAATTAGATTTCCATTTAAAAGGAGTATGCGTAAAACTTTTTCCAATATAAATATGTCAAATGAAAGTGAAAGGGTTTAAAACAACGACATTGTACTTCTACTTAGAGGCAAAACTACAAATGTTCGTTTTATTCTGTGAAAAATTTTAGTTTGTAATACAGGTGAAAGAGCGATCTCCATGTAATGCAGTATGTTATTACCGAAAAAATGTAATGTGGGTACTATTTAAAATAGTCATCTCACTTATACAGTGAGTAAATTTTTCAGCAGATGGAGTTGTATCCATCACTTTCAAAGGCTATTGATTTCAGCGTACACAATTTAAATTGGGTCTGGAAATCAAAGCGCTTATTGGGCTTCGATCTCAATTCCTAAACAGTGCCCCAATCGACTGTCTTGAAAACGATAGGTCTTAAATGTAGAAAATGTTAGTATTACGTTTATTTAGTTGTGTTGACATGAACTATATGTACACATACATGTGACACATATTACTTTCCTTTTCTGTTCAAAACCAATCGTTTATCGTTGTTGAGTTGCTCAATGAGGGCGCTATTTCAGAGTCTAATAATCTTTTACTCTACCTTACATATTATATCTTAAGAGAGTTCTATCGGTTATATAATTAACAATAAGGATTTGATAAAAATGTAATCACAAATTCATAAAGTCATGGATGTGACGCTGTCAAAAATTGAAGGCACGAGGGTTCCTAAGAGCCGAGTAATTAATATTTATATTTAGTCAATTTTTATATGTTGACTCATGGACTGTCGTCCTGTTAAGGATTTTATTAAATTTACTTCGCTTATTGACAATAAACTTATGATCCCATAGTGGCAAGTACTTGCCACTTTATTCATTAATAATGAAAAAAGAATAACAAAAGTACCTTTAACCAGTTAACAGACTGCATTTTTTTGCCACTCGAAATTATAAAACCATAACTCAATAATCTTTCACAACGTTAATTGTGCGCTTACATACTAGTTTATTAAGGAGGTTTGGGACTTTTGGGAGTATTATTCAGAGAGGCGTGGAACGGGAAGTCCTCCCTCCCCGCGCATCTGGGCCCCCTTTACCGCGCACCTTCTCTTGCACTCTACAAACTTGAAACTGTACGACTGTAACTGCTTATAATTTTGAAAAATGCCTGGCAAGGCTTGATTTTTTTTTCGAGCATCTTCCTTTTACACCAAGTTATCTATGAAAACGTGTTTTTTTATTCCAACACATTTAGAATATCTTGTTTTTAATTAAAAGGCAAATCTAACCTTGTTCTCTCATAAGATACCGTATTAAACTGTCAATATTTCATAATTTTTTTCTCGAAAATTCCCCCAGTTGAAAAATCCGGAAAAATTCATGTGCACTCCTAAAATGCTCAAGTATAACATACATTTTTTTTGGCACGTTTCTCCATTTTGAACTTTTCTCCGAAACCTCCTTAATTAATGCAGCAATAGTTTGTAATAAAGCGGTTTCAACCGAGTAATCCGTTGCATTTACTGGCCATTTTATTGACTGATTCCAAAATAATAAACCCATACCCTTTTACAAGACGCCGTAATACGGTCCATATATTTATATCCTCAAGACCGGGTTAATTAGATGTTTTCGACTTGCATACCTTTTAAACATAGTAATATTCTTGAAGTTTAAGCTAGCCGACGCACTCAGCTGGCGTATTATTTGGAACGCTCTTCAAAAAAACTTTTTCATACAATCAAAAGATAAACAAGTAATTTTTTCTGCATCTTTCATTCCGTACAACGATAACTATTTTATTAAAGATACATAAAAAAATATAAATAATGATATTCAAAAAATAAATAATCAGAAACGCACACAAAATCAGTATTCTAATGATGACTGTCTTAGGAAATCCTTCCAGATTACTAGATCGCCTTGTAAATTGCCTCAGTTAATTAATAATAATTAATCTCTGTGAACTGTATAACATTATCTTGATAAAAGCGGCCTTCATCTAATTCCTCTGAATTGTTTCGGAATGGTCTGGTATAGGGGCGGCTTAAGGGTGGGGCAAACGAGGCACTTGTCCAGGGCGCCAGAAAGACAGGGGTGCCAAGTAAACGACAACGCAAAACACTGTAGACTTTTTTAACAATATTTTATTGGATTACTACTTTTTGGAATACCTTCTTTCTACGTACTTACATACACTCATACACACACATAGACACACTTACAAACATATTTGTGTATGGGACATTTCACGTGAACCGAAACAGAAAAAAAATTTTTCTTTTAAATTTTGGGTATTGGTAGTACTCCATAAGAACGCTATAATGTTGTATTTTCAGATTTTTAACCAACATCTTTACCGTCATTCACAGTCACAAATATTAAATTTTTCACTTTGTCCGCAACTTCGTGAATTTTAGAGGGAAAATTATGCGGGTCAAAAAAAAAAAATTACGTTTTCGTTAGCTTTTTTTTTCGTAAAATACGATAAAATTATTTAAAAATTTTTTAGGTTTCGTTGTCAGCATATTACGGTGAATTTTAACATTGTAATCAAAGCTTAGGGAAGTATGAAAGCTTTATAACTTTTTTTTTCTTTTTTTTTTTCAAGCGTAAGCCATCAACTTTTCTTTTAAGCCCTTTTTGTCCCAAAATGTGCTGCGGATCAGTGTGGGCACTAGAGGGCTCTAAAGATGTACTTTTCTTCTACTTTTTTTATTCGTTAGAATCATAAGCATTTTGTATAAAAGCTATATTACAATACGTTTTTGAGGTCGCTGATGAACATCGTGATCTTGAAAATTTAATTTAAAAAAAGGCGAATTCCATCTAGCAGATAGTGGGATCGAATTAGCTGAAATGTCGGTAATTTTTCATGAAATTCATACTAGCTCGAAAAAAATAAGTTTTAGAGAATAAAACAACACCAATCGATTGTAATAAAATAGAACAAAAAATATTTTCCGCTAAGGCTTCAACATAAATGGCAAAAATAGTAAAACACGGTTCTTAACGTCGGAAATGAACCACAAGCCTTAAAATAGAAAACAAAAAATATAGGAGTATGCGTGGAAAAAAGACAAACAAAATGAGCTCCGGTTGATCCCAATTGGTCCAGTGGTTTCTCCGCCAAATGCAAAAAATCTCGTTTTTAAGCCAATATTACAAAATTCATAACTCTCTTTCGCATAAATATTAAAATTTGGCAGAGTTGCAGCTTTAGTAGTCTCCAACAACCACGCCGAATTTCAGCAAGATCGGATCAATAGTTTTTGCAAACCGCAGCTGAATGCAAAAAAAGGTACTTTGGCACGCAAAAAGACCTACAAAAAGTTATTTACAACGTTAGACGCAATTTTTTGCGGGATTTTATTGTTTAATACTTAATCTACAATTTACCAAAGTATCAAATTTCTTTACAGTGTGAAAGTTGGTTATATCGTTTCCAAAATATCATTAATTTTAAGAGCACTTGCAGTTTAAGTGTACTCAGTCGATAACACCGGAGTCGAGCTTGAAAAAGTAGACGTGGTTTATTCATCGGCGGCTACGATGGCTCATCGCTTCTCACGTGCCGTACCGCCGTGCACAAAAAATACCCACTAGGTTTTTTATTTTTTATGCAACTTCCTCATAGAAAAAAAATTTTGATACTTCGTAAATTATAAAGTAAGTATTCAAGAATATGATCCGACAAAAAAATTGCATCTAACGTTGTAAACAACTTTTTTAAGGCCGTTTTGCCAAAGTACCTTTTTTTGCATTTAGCTGCGGTTTGCCAAAACTATTGATTCCATCTTAATTTATTTTCTGTTGTCTACAATGTATTAGGAGCAAAATTGTCACGTGACCAAAACCTATATTCTTTTTATTAATTTTGAGATCAGTAGAACTTCGTTAAGCACGGGTGGTTTTCAATATTAAATTATAAGTTATTATAGAAAACGAATAAAATGAAAAAATTTTTCCTTACAATTGAAATTAGCTATATGTCTATTGTTTTCCTTAATTTCAATAAGATATAGTGGATTATTTTACTTTCATCCCAGCCAAAATTAAATAAAATTTTACTTGTCGGATACAAAGATTCCAACAAGAATTTAGTGTACACGTATGATGTCATTTCAAATGCACGAATATTAGTTTTAAATAAAATGAATTTTTGGCCCGCGTAATTGGACAAAAGTACCTTCTTTTGGCAAAGTACAGTGAAAATTTTTGGTTCATTTCCATCACATCCACGCGTAATCCTTCCAGACTGACAGTTTTACTTCTTATTTGCACTACTAGACCAGTTGGCGGAGATTTTTGCCTGTATTTTCCGGGCGGTAGCAATGTTTCGATTGATTCTTATGTATTTTTTGCCGTAGAATACGATTATCATTACCCGTACTTTGTAAAAGTTGTGCTTCATTTTTTAATTTAACAATTTGTGAAAAAAAATGATTTTTTTTTACATTTTCCTTTATATCTCCTTTCCTGTGCATTTTTAGCATTATGCATGTAAACAGTTTTCTGTTCCTTACATAATTATCTACAAAATGAGATCTGGTGCGATATCCCAAGTGCCATTGTTAACCTGCAAATTGCGTTGTAAGTTGAAAAAGTGCGTTTTTTTAAACATTCAATATCTCAACAATTAAAATACCTAGGAGCTTGAAATTCTCAGAAAATATTGCTATTACTAATATAAACAATTGCACCAAATTCCAAAACGATCGCTTTTTAACTTTTAGAGTTATTAACGATCAAAATTTTTTTCGAAGCTTAATTGCATAATGCGCCAAAGTTGCTGTGATCGTCTAATTTTGATCCAACTGGCCTCTAAAATTCAAAAAACTATTCAAA